CCTCACCCAAGGATATTTTCCCACTTATCATTAGATAGAGTGGGAGGGAGGGATAGAGAGAGACAAAGAGAAACATCCATGTGATAGAGCCACATGGACAGGTTGGCGTCCGCACCACCCAACCAGGACCGGGGATGAACCACAACCGAACCACAACTGTGCCCTTGACCTTGCTCTTGTGCCCTTGACCGGAATCCAACCCTAGACTCTTTTATCTGTGGGCCATCGCTCTAGGGCAAAACCGGCTAGGGCACTTTTTGTTTTTTTTAAAAGATGGGGTGTTGTTTTTGCAAGTCACTTCTTAGTATTATCATGAAAATAGTTTTGACCCCTGTCGCACCTCCTCCTGGGTCGAAGACCACACTTTGGGAATCACTGCTCTGGGTCACAGCATCCTGCCTTAATCTCCACCTAAATGTGCATTATGTTTGGATCTCCCATCCTCCGGTGTCCCTAGGAGCAGCCCAATAGCTTCTTCTGGGTGGCTGCTTCCAGCCTGCTAGTCACACGATTTGGGTCACAGCTGGTTCACCCACAGGGCCCTTCACCACTCTTTCTGACCTCATTTTCTCTTTCCCTCCAACAGCCTCTTTAACCCTTCACTTCCCCCAAGAACAATGCAAGAGAGAAAGCCCCAATTTAAAGGAATTGTGCTGGGACACTGCACAGCACCTAAATTATTGTGGCAATTTGTTTAAAAATTTTAAAAATTATATATTTTCATTGTTCTTTTTCTGGTTACAAAAATAACAGATGCTTGTTATGTAATATTCACATCCCACCGAATTGTATAAAGTAGAAATTAAGAGTCTCCAAAAATCCTGCCCCCGCCCCATACACTCTTTGGTTTATGTGTCTTCAATTATTCATGTATATTTCTTTCATATATATGTATGAATAGTAAGATGGGATATTTCTCTGTTTTCACTTAATATCTCTCAGAACATTTTTCTATACCAGCAAAATATACATCTATTTCATTCTTCTTTGTTTTTTAATCTTCACCCAAGGATATTTTTACATTTATCTTCAGACAGAGTGGGAGGGAGGGAGAGAGAGAGAGAGAAACATTGATTGGTTACCTCCTGCACAACCCCGACCAAGTCCAGGGACCGAATCGCAACTGAGGTACATGCCCTTGACCGGAATTGAACCCTTCAACTGTTTGGTCCTCGGGCGGACGCTCTAATCGCTGAGCCAAACTGGCCAGGGCTTTTTATGTTTGTTTGTTTTTTAATTGATTTTTTTAGAGGAAGGGGGAGATAGATAGATAGATAGACAGACAGACAGAAAGAGAGAGAGAAAACTTCGATTGGTTGCGTCCCATACATGCCGACCAGGGTTTGAACCACAACCTAGGTATGTACCCTGACCAGGAATCAAATCCAAAACCTTTGGTGTATAGGATGATGCTCCAACCAACTGAGCCACCCAGCCAGGGCGTGAATGGGTAATTTTAACACCACCACCAACATGTGTCTTGATGTGTGCCAGGTACCATTCTAATCATTTATCAGCATGAATCTATCCAATGGTAGCAATTACTAGGAGTAGGTGTTACTAGGTCCATTTGCAGATGAAGAAACGGAGGCTCAGAGAAGTGAAGTGATTTGCCCAGGTAATGAGACAACCGCAACAAATGACTTCAATATCAGGGAGCAATCTCTAAGCTCTGGAAAGGTGCTGTTAGCTTTCATTTTCCTCTTGCTCCAACTTTGGATCTCTGGTTTCATCAAGAATTTTTAGGATTAACTTAAGCAACCTGTGAGAAAATTTCATGGAATCAAATAGTATTTTTAAATCTTCCGAATGTGTTTCTGGACCATATCCATTATTGTCCATAGATTTATTTTACAAAGTTAAGATCAGAGTAGATTTTTTGTCTCTTTTTAAAAAAAAAGTTTTTTTCCCTTATTGATTTTACAGAGGAAGTGAGAGAGAAATAGAAATGTCAATGGAACAGAACATTGATTGGCCTCCTCTGGCATGCCCCCCACTGGGGATTGGGCCCACAACCTGGGCATGTGTTCGAGTGAGAATCGGAACTGGCAACCTCTTGGTGCATGGATCGATGCTCAACCACTGAGCCACATCGGCTGGATGTTTTTTTGTCTCTTTTATTAGGAGGGGTTCTGGGAGCCTGTTTATCTTGTGTGATGGCTCAGGTGTAAATGAATGCCCACCCCATCCCCACCCCAGCGCAGGCTGCGGAAGGTAGGCTTGGACTTGGCCACCAAGGATGAGTTGGGTCTGGCCATGGGGAGTGGAAAAGGGTCCACTTGAGGAAAGGAAGGGACCGTGCAAAGGCTTAGAGGCAGGGGGGATTCCGGGCAATGGATGAAGGTCGGGTTCTCCAGGAGAGGAAATGTAGATGCGAAGGATGCTGAGGGAAGTGAAAGCTAAGAAATGGTAGAAGCTATTCAGATTTCATTGTATTAGGCAATGGAGAGCTACTGCAAATATTTGACTGTGAATTAACTGCTCAGGCCTGCTTGCAGAGGTTAGGGCAGATGGGGAGAAGGGAGGGAGCACAGACTGCTGGCAGACAAATCACTGTAGAGATGACCATAAATAGCTCTGCTACCAGCACCTCCCCCACAGCCCTCCCTTCCCTCTGTGTTGATTTCTAATAATGGCACCGCCATTCTTTCTGCCCCAGGGATGCACTCTGACTCCTCCTGCTACAGGTCCAGGGGCTGTCCACTATATCTCTATATCATCTCTATATCATCTCTGGAGTCCTGTCCTTCTTGGGGTCCTTCCAGGACCCTGTGTCAGCCCTGCCCCTGGTCAGGAACCCAGGCCTTCCTTCCTTCCCCAGGCCTGATCCCCTAATGTCCCCTTACAGCTACTGCCAGATGTTACCTCCTGCCTACAAACACATCACAAAACGAATGCCTTGAAGTGTCCACCTGGATGAAATGCAAGTCCGTCACCTCTCCTGGCCTGCCTGTCCAGTCTTCCCCAGATCTTAAATATCCTTGAAGAGACAGCTTGATGGGTGTTCCTCCCCTAAGTTCACCACAGTCTCTCCCCGAAGGAGGTGAATTCCTCTTTGTCAGGTGCCTTGTGTGTCATCTAAACTCCTCTTGGGACACTTCCCTCTGTGCCTGCTTTATGGTGATTGCACAGATGTGTGTCTTGCTCCTAAAGTGTAGGGACCGAGTGGTATGCATTTTTGTGCTTCCACAGGGAACTTGCACATGACCTAGACTCAATAACTAATTGGGATTTGATTACAAGTGTGGAGGGAGGGACCTTCCAATTATGTTGACCAAACTGGACAAGTATAATCAATAGGTATTCTGGTTTTCCTTTTTTCCTCCTTAAAAGAGCAATGGTCTATGAGCCAGGTATATGAGTATGAACTAGACATTTACTACTTCTCTGCTGTGTGATTTTGAGCAAGTGTCCTAACCTCTCTGAGTCAATGCAGCTGACACCAGCTGCCATCACGGAAGCCCTGGGAGGTGGGCAGTGAGGAGCAGTTTAATCTGAAGACTTTGCCTCTACTGCCCTGGGCTGTTGCTGTGCCTGCAAAGAGCTCATGTGCCCCCAACTGAATCCCTCTGCAGGCAAAGGCCAAATTGTGGAACACACTGAGGCGTCATTCAGTACTGTCCCTGGCCAGGCTGCTGGCATACTGATCTACCATGTAGAGGAAGAGATGAGGCCCTGGGGGTGGGCAGCAAATTCTTTATGACCATTTCTGAAGTGGCAGTATGGCATACATAATTTAATCTGAATGTTTGGGTTAGAAGGATCCTCCAGGGGTCCATTCTCCTGGTTTACAGGTATGGACCCTGAGGCCCAGCTGCTGCATGATAACACCAGGATGGCATGAGAGCCACATACCAGAGGTTTCCACCGTCTCTGTTTGTGTTTTGAGCAAAAGAATTGGGAACAGAGTGAAAGAGATAATGGGTCATTCTGGGACATGCTGGCTCAAGAATAGGCATTTGACTGAGGCCTCAGACTTTGGGGGGGCCCTAAAGCAGCCTCCCCTTGGGCTCGGTCTGCTGGACCTCAGAGCCAAAGCAGTAGCTCAGCCTGGCTGGGACAGGGAGAAGGAAGTTTTGAAGTCAGTGATTCAAGGTCGCTTTCCTGGCCCAGCTCCACCTGACAATGTTGACTGTGAAGGGAAAACTGGGAACACAGAACCGAAAGAGCCTGAGTGTATTTAGAGTGAGTTGTGACTGCGAAAGTGGGGGGAGGGGGGCTGGGGTCAGATTTTTCTACATAAAACCCCAGTCCTATTGGGGTCTCATTTCAAGCAGATGGGCGAAGAGAGAGACTTGGGTTGTTTATGGTGGAACCAATCAGTATGGCCTTTTCTATGAAAACAAGCAAAAGCGGAACTGTTTACCTGGGTGCACGCTGAGTGTGTGGGGCCCCGGCTGCATGCTGAGTACCCATCTGGAAGCCTCTGTTTGTCCTTGAGCGCAGCTTTCAGACCCGCGTGGCAGGCGGCCTGTGGCCGTGAGATTTCCCCTTTCGGGCGGGAGGAAATAATCTCAGGCTACGCTGAATACTTCGGGGGGATTCCGGTGTCTACACAACCCGTGGAAGGGAGAAGGGGGGCAGAGAGCGAACCTGAGGAGCCCCGAGGTGCCCGGGGTCTTAGTTCAATGGTCAACGCGCCCGAGGGTTTCAGCCCAGCAAACGCAAGGACGCAGGTGTTTCCTGAGTTGCCTTTGGAGGTTTCAGCTGTGTCAGCAGCTGACACCCCGATTTTAACGAGGAGTCCTGGCTCAAGGGACTCAGCGTCGCTAGCGGCTCCCCGAATCCTCCAGCACCGACCCCCGCGTGCGGGTCCGGGTGGGTCTCCCCGCCTCTGGCGCTGGTCCAGCCGGGCTTCCCGCGACCCCGGAGAAGCGCGGGCTGCGCGCGGGGTCGGGTCCTGCCCGGCCCGGTCCCGCCTCCTCCCGGCGAGGCCCAATGGGGTGGCGGCCCCGGCGGCCCCGCCCCCTCTGCGCTCGAGCGCTCGGAGCCCAGGTCTGGGCAGCTCGCCGCCAGGCAGCTGGAGCAGCGGCCGGCGCTCCGCTCGGATCTCGCCCTCCGGGTTGGTTTCGTCGCCTGCTAGGGATGGCTGGCTACTTGCGGGTCGTACGCTCGCTCGGCAGAGCCTCGGGATCCGGGCCGGCCTGGGCGCCCGCAGCCCTGACAGGCCCCAACTTGCAGGACCAGCCGCGCCGCCACTGTGAGTGCCAGAGGGTCCGCGCGGGTGCGCGCCGGGCTCCGCTACGTGGCGGCCTCCGGGCGGGGACCCGGGAGCGCAACGCGGACGCTCGCGGGCCGGGGACCGCGGGGCTGGGCACACAAAGAGCCGGGACGGCCTCGCTGCACGGTCCCCTGCCCCGAGCTTCCAGGCCGCGCCAGGCGCAGTGGTGGGGACTTGAAGGACGGTGGCAACTGGTGGCCCGGGCGATGCCAGCCCTGCGGCCCTGCGCGGGGGGTGGCGGCGGGGAAGCTCCGGGCTGCCTCACGCCCCCGATATAACTACATGGGGTGCTGGGAGTAACTTGTATCTGGAGGGGATCGCGCCCGCCCTGGCGGGAGACGAGCAGCAGAGTGGGGGCCGGAGCACCCCGCGAGTCGTCCCCGCTCAGACAAAGGCGGGAGGGAGGAGGCATCCACTTCCCCTTCCTTTTCAGCCAGGCTCTCTGCAATCCCTCGTCGCTGCCAGGCCCTCGTCAGCTATTTTTGGAGCCTTTTACGCGACAGCTGGAGGAGCGTGCTTTTCATGTATCCCCTTTGTTTGGACTCCCTCCTTCTCCTTGTCGCCGCACTTGAAGCTCCGTCCTAGGCCCTCTCCTTGGTTTGATCGGCTTTTTCTCGCGGGTCGGCTCCTGCGCTGCTCTTTGGCTCTGCCCAGCCCACCGATGGTTGTTCACAGTTTCTGTGGGACCCTTAGCTCCCATCTTAGCAGAGAAGACTGAAGCCGGGACATGAGAAGCAGGACATAGCCTGAACCTCTATTATCAGTGCAGGCTGCTCCTGCTGGTGTGTGGGCACTGGCTGCACCCTGGATAGCAGGGGACAATGCAGGTCCCTTGGCCCTGTCTGATGCCTGTTGTCATGGAAACCCCTATCTTGACCTGGCCAGTAGCCCCTTGGAGTGAGCCAGGAGAGTGAGGAAGAGGGGGTGGGGCGCCGGCAGCTTGGCTTTTCTGCCAATGTAGGTAATCTTTAACCCAGTGTGGGAGCAGCTGACTAGAGCTTGGGCCCCAGCACTGCCCCCCCCACCCCAACCTGCCAAGGAGAAAGGGGCGTTTCTGCTTTTGAACTTCTAGGATTTGTCTCTAAAGGGTCAGCCCTGCAATCCCAAGGTTCCAAGTGCCCCCAGGCCTCAAACCAAGTTTCCTGTAGTGTACCACCTTTAGCAAAATATGGTGCAAGTCAGATAGTTCCCCAGTGCTCTTATTCTGCGTTGATGATTTTTTAAAAAAAGAGCCCTGACCTGTGTGACTCGGTTGGGAAAGGGTTGTAGGCTCAATTACCATTAGGGGGCGTGCAGGAGGCAGCCAATCAATGGATGTTTCACTCCCATAGATGTTTCTCTTGCTCTGTCTCCCTCTCCCTACCTAGAAATCAATGAAACTTTTTTTTTTTTTTAAAGAAACACCCCACTACCACACACCCACACACGAAAACAAAGGGCCTTTGGGGACCTGAATTTTGGTACATAAAAAGAGCAGACAGTTGCGGGTCCTTCTCGAAATGCCCAAGTAAGTTGGTTATTAATGGGAAGAGTGCCTGGTGTTTGAGTTGGACATGAGACTATACAAGTGTGACCTCTGCTAGCTTGGTACCTGGCAACGCTGCCAGAGACAGAATAGTTGGCATTCCCCTTGATGACAAGGAAAGAGTATTTTTGGGCTAAAACACCCTGTGTCTTTGTTGCCTGGTAATTCCCACATGTGTCTCTTTCTAGTTTTTCAACTCATTGGACTCCAGCGACCACCTGTGTGGTTCTGATAAATTAGAGTTTGGGGATGTGAGGGTGGGCTCTGTCTAACCACTGAATGGGAGAATCACGTTTTTCTTTGCTCTACTCCTAGTGTGGGAATTTCTTAATTTCCTCAACTACCCTTTATCTTCTCAGATCTTGGTGACTTGTTTACTCTCGTAGATTCTAAGGCAGATTATTTAATGACTATCCAAAGTTTTGCAAACCCACCAGTAGAGTTCTTATGTGTTCTCCACTGAGCGTTGTTTCAATTACATCAGATAAGACCACAGCTGCCCTACCAGAGCTGTTTTGGGTGGTTGTGTTTAGGCCCAGTAGGCTTTGAGGAAAAGCTTTTCTGGGAAACCCCAAATCCTCTCTGTGAGATTGAGGCCTTGTGTGCAGATTCTGTTCAGAGTATGAGGTGCTGGAAACTGCTCTCTGATTCCTGGAAGCCAGGCTCTGTGGCCTGCCCTGGAATTTTAATTTTTTTATCCTCACCCGAGGATATTTTTGCATTTATCTTCAGATAGAATGGGAGGGAGAGAGGGGGGAAGAGAGAGAAACATCGATGTGAGAGAGATACATTGACTGGCCGCCACCCACACGACCCCATCCGGGGATGGGGACAAACTGCAACCGAGGTACGTGCCCTTAGTGGGAACCGAACCCGGGACTCTCTGGTCCGCAGGCCGACGCTCTAACCGCTGAGCCAAACTGGCCAGCTGCCCTGGACTTTATACTTTTGTAAAGCCAGGCTTAAAATGCCAACAGATTGCAAATATTAATATACTATAAATTGTGAGCAGAGAGCCCATTGCATGGCAGAGTTGCCGCTGTACATTTTTGATGGTCTGGTGCAATCTGATGGTGAGAACTTGCCTCTGTGTGGCAATGCATCCCGGGAGGGTAAGGATGGGGGAAGCACATTTTATCCAATTAGGAGATGAGGGCAGGGTAGCAGACCAAACTGACCATAAATTGACATTCATTCATGCCTTCAGCAAATATTGTGCTTCTACTGTGTGCCAGGGACTGTGCAAGGTGCTAGGGACAGAGCTGGGAATAAGAGGCAAAATTTTCTGCCCTTAATGAGGCTTAAATTCTAATGTGGGGATAGATAGTAAATAAGATAGAAGTTGGCTACTGTGATACATGGTAACAGGAGAACAAATAAGGAAGGAAGGTGTGTGTGAGAGTTTGGGTAGGTAGGCCAGAAAAGAACGTACTGGCCCTGGCCGGTTTGGCTCAGCGGTTAGAGCGACGACCTGCGGTCCTGAGAGACGTGGGTTCAGTTCCCGCTAAGGGCACGTATCTTGGTTGCAGTTTGTCCCCGGCCCTGGTTGGGTCGTGTGGGTGGCAGCCACTCGATGTGTCCCTTTCACGTCGATGTTTCTCTCTCTCTCTCTCTCTCCCTCCCACTCTATCTGAACAAAAAATAGAAAATATGTCCTCGGGTGAGGATTTAAAAAAAAAGAACGTACTGGAAGAAGCCCTGAGGGAGCGGAAGAAACAGGCCATTTAGTTATCAAGGGGAGAGAACTGTGGGGTCAAGGCCACAGTGGACACCATTGCCTGTGGGAGAAGCAGAGGAAGGCATGCGCAAGGCTGGCTCAGTGTAGGATGGTTAAGTGACAGGTGGGCCAGGTCGCAGGAGGCATGTGGGGCTTGCAGGCCATTTTTTTTTTTAATCCTCACCTGAGGATATTTTTCCATTTTTTGTACAGATAAAGTGGGAGGGAGAGAGAGGAAGGGAGAGAGAGTGAGAAACATCGACGTGAAGGGACACATCGAGTGGTTGCCACCTGCATGACCAACCAGGGCCGGGGACAAACCGCAACCGAAGTACGTGCCCTTAGCGGGAACCGAACCCGGGTCTCTCCGGACCGCAGGCCGACGCTCTAACCGCTGAGCCAAACTGGCCAGGGCTGCAGGCCATTTTTGAGGACCTCAGCCTTTGCTCTGAGTGAAAGCAAAGGGTTTTGAGAAGAGTGTCATGACCTGATTTACACTTTGACAGGAGCACTCTGGCTTCAGTGACCTGGTAGGAGGTATAACCTGGCAAGAGAGGCTGGTGACTGGGATCTGGATGGTGGCCTTGGGAGAAAGAAGAAATGGTTGGATTCTGGATGTATTTTCAAGGAAGAGCAGGTGGATTTTTGGATGGTTTGGATGTCGGTGTGAGAGAAAGGGAAGAACATGCTAGAATGTCTTCCAGAATTACTCCCTGGAATTGGGGCTCCATGTTCTTCTGGGCCATGCTGGCTGGAATGTGGTAGAAGCAGTTATCTTGGGTGCGGCTATCTTTCGGGGCACCTTGAACCTTGAGTTTGCAGCAGCAGGCAGATCCTGAAAATGGGGGATGGGTTTGACATCCTTACGTGGTGTTAGGTGCTGGGAGCTCCAAATGGGGAGGACAGTTGGCCGAATGGGCCTCCTGTGACTCTGTTATTCCATTCCATACCCCGGCCAAGTGGATAATGTTTGTGGAAGGTGTCATCCGAAGAGTTCAGGGAGGCCCAGCCTCTGTTCCTTGGATTTCAGGTTGCTTGTCACCACTTGTCTTGCAGAGGGTCAGGCGATGGGAGTGTCTCCACCATATTGGCTAAACGACAAACACGGTCTCAAAGTCTGATGCCTTGGGGTGCTCAGGGGGAGCACGTGGCAGGCCTGGCACGAGGAGAGAGGCCACCTTAGCCCAGCCCTTCCTTTCCATGAGCCAGCACCAGCTCAGTGTGTGGAAGCAACTCATTCTTCAGGAGAGACTGGGGTTTTTGGTTTTTTTTCCCCCCTCTATTCTCAACTTTTATTTATTTTATTTTTTAAAATGAAAATTTTTGTTTTCAATTACAGCTTACATTCAATATTATTTTGTATTAGTTTCAGGTGTACAACATAGTGCTTAGACAATCATATAATTTACAGGTTGTTCCCCCCTGATATTTCCAGTACCCACCTGACACTATACATAGTTATTACAGTATTATTGACTGTATTCCCCGTGCTGTACTTTAACATCCCCGTGACTGTTTTGTAACTACCAATCTGTACTTCTCAATCCCTTCACTAGAGAGGCTAGATTTTTATGTAAAATTTTTTGAGTTTTTCTGGGGACTGATTTGTTTTAAAAATAATTTAAAAAATTTTTTTTTCTTCATTAATTTTTAAAGAGAGAGGAAGGGAGAGGGAGAGAGAGAATCATCGATGAAAGAGAACATCGATTGGCTGCCTCCTGCATGCCCCTCACTGGGGATAAGGCTCACAACCTGGGCATGTGTCCTGACCAAGAATCGAACCTGCAGCCTTTTGGTGCATGGGTCGACTCAACCACTGAGCCACACCAGCGGGGCAATAATTTTTATTTCTTATTTGCTATTGTATAAATGCATAGCAAAAATTTCCATCTTACCCATTTTTAAGTCTGCAGTTCAGTAGTGTTAAGTGTACATTATTGTGCAACCAATATCCAGAGCTTTTTCAAATTGCAAAACTGAAACTCTATATCCATTAAACAATAACTCCCCATTTCCACCTCCCCCAGCCCCTGGCAGCCACCATTCTACTTTCTGTTTCTATGACTTCGATTTCTCTAGGCACTTCATATAAAGAGAATCATGCAGTATTTGTCTTTCTGTGACTGGTTTGTTTCACTCAGCATAATGTTCTGAAGGTTCATTCATGTTGTGGCATGTGACAAGATTTCTTTCCTTTTCAAGGCTGAATAATATTCCATTATATGTACATTCTGCCTTAAAAAATACGAAGTTAAAATTTATTGATCTTCTGAGTAAGGTATAGGAATTGTGAAAAGCTTAGAAGGTAGTTATTAAATCCTTACATATTTTATCCTGCTTCTAATTTATCGTAGAAGTTACTTCCCAAAAATATTCATCACAGCTGGACTGAAAGAGTGTTTGGAAAATGTGGCAGTGTTTCTGAAAATGTGGCAATGTTTCTGAGAGAGAGAGAAAGGAGGGAGGAGAGAGAGAGCGACATCAACCCATTGCTCCACCTTTTAATGCATCCATTGGTTAATTCCTGTATGTGTCCAGACCAGGGATCAAATCTGCAACCTTGGCATATCAGGATGACCCTCTAACCAACTGAGCTACATAGAGCTCATCATCCTGCTCAGCAGTCACGATTCCCCCAGGCTTGAGTGCCCCTCCCAGAGGGTCAACAACCCTCCTCCAAGGCAGCCCTCACTGATTAACTGAATGGGCCATTTTCTTGAGTTTTTCTTGGAATCTCCTTCCCAGACTGTTGGTTTTTCTCACGAGTCAAAATTTCCTTGAAGAGCCTCCCTGGCTGTGGTTTCCCCTCCGCCCTCCCCCAGAACCTGGATCAGCCACTCATCCAGGCCTGTGATGCTTCTCTGGAAGGATCGGCCATCCCTGAGCCATTCGGACCAGTTCTGAGTTCCCGTCCCAGGAGCCCTCAGCCTGTGCTTCCTCCTGTTTTCAAACTGTAACCTTGGGCAATGCGCTGGGCACCACAGCCTCCTCAAGTTAAAAGTGGAAGTAATAATACCCCCTTGGGGAGTGCTTGAAGGACTGAATGGAATCATGTAAAGGGTGGGGTACACTGTCAGGCACAGATGAGGTGCTAATGCAGTTCCTCCTCACTTCAAGTTAGTCAGGTTCTCAGATTGCAAGCAACAGACCAAGTGAGTGACAGGCTGACTTTGAGAGGATGTCATTGGCAGGACACAAGGTAGCTCATAACACTGCATGATTGGACGAGAGGGGATTCCGAGTTGCCCTGGGGAACCAGGTGGCAGCAGCCTCTCCTGACTTGCTCCTGGACAGGGCGGCCCCAGTTGGCTCTGGTTCTCTGTGTTGTCTCCTCTGCCTCAGATTCTGGGGAGGAGATCTGACTTGCCAGGCTGGCATCTTGTCTGGTCCTAGCTGGCCATACTCAGTGGGGGAGTCAGGTCCCCAAGCAGTCCCAGAGCTGCTCCTGCAGAATGGGAGTGAACACTGGGCAGCTGGGGCCTGCCTGACCACTACTTTTTCCTTGGTGGCTCTGGTGGGGAGGAGAGGGGTTCCCCCACCCACCTCCCCAGGAGCGTCATGCGCTGTTTGTGCCCCATTCTAGATGCTGACAAGAGGATCAAGGTGGCCAAGCCCGTGGTGGAGATGGATGGCGATGAGATGACCCGTATCATCTGGCAGTTCATCAAGGAGAAGGTAGTTCCCTCCTGAAGTGGGTGGCTTTCCACATGACTGGCCAGGCACAGTGTTCTGCCCCAGCACAGGTCCTGCTTCAGGCCCCGCCCATCTACCTGATTCACCTGTCCCCAGGTGTGCAGCAGCAGCCCTGAGTCTCTCCATCCCCCCATCCTTTCGTTGTGTCCAGACCACTCATGGTTCCTGTGACGTCTGGCAGCGGCCTGTCAGCAGTCTGTGTCTTGTGCTGGAGCCAAAGCCTGCACATCTTAAAACCAAATGCAGCCCTGGTCGATTTTGTTCAGTGGTTAGAGCGTCGGCCTGCGGTCCAGAGAGACCCGGGTTCAGTTCCCGCTAAGGGCATGTATCTTGGTTGCAGTTTGTCTCCGGCCCTGGTTGGGTCATGCGTGTGGCAACCAGTCGATGTTTCTCTCTCAAATCGATGTTTCTCTCTCTCTGTCTCTTCCTCTCTCTCCCTCCCACTCTATCTGAACAAAAAATGGAAAAATGCCCTTGGGTGAGGATTAAAAAACAAAACAACAAATGCAGATCCAGGGCTGAGCTTGTATCCTGTCCATCTGGACCCCCTTGAGGGAGCAAAAGGAATGCAGGGCTGCTGTGTGGAGCAGCTGTGTACAGAGTTAACCTTTTCTGAGTGGCTCCGGGATGTCCTTGTGAGTGGTGGCTGTGGTGCATGCTGGAGGACAGTGACATGTTTGAGCCACCACAGCACACAGTTCCCAGGGTGGCTTCTTGGATTCCCCAAGTCTGCCTGGGAGAGTGTGTTATCCACATGAAGACCCCACAATGTATGTATGTCCACAAGAAGAAGGTTGAGAATTGATACTTCTGAATGGGGAAGACAAGGGAACCCTGTTTAGAGAATGCAGATGCACGTGGAGATGGGGTTTGGCTTATGGTCCATGCTAGGGGATGAGCCTCTGAGGGGCTGCACCCTGGTCTGCCCGCCTCTCTCCAGAGCCCCGGCCTCCAGCCAGCTTTGGCTGGGCCCCATGGAGGAATGGCTGACTCCAGCCCTCTGCTGTGTTGCCCCTCCCTCTGCTGGCCTTCCGCGTCCCTGCCCCCTGCCCTGACTGAGTGTCCCCTGCCAGTGCCTGCACATGCCCCTGAGTCATCTGGGCTGACGCCTTGCCCTGGCCGTCTGTCTCTAGCTCATCCTGCCCCACGTGGATGTCCAGCTCAAGTATTTCGACCTGGGGCTCCCACACCGTGACAAGACTGATGACCAGGTCACTATTGACTCTGCATTGGCCACCCAGAAGTACAGTGTAGCTGTCAAGTGTGCCACCATCACCCCTGATGAAGCCCGTGTGGAAGGTGCGGGGGCATTCGAGGTGGGTGGGCTGGGACGTGACCCCAGTCTCCCTGAGAATGCCGGGTAGACAGTGGTCCCTGCAGATGGGGCTGGGGACGGGCGGTTAAGGGGCTGGCCTCAGCTTCCGCAGTTTGGGTGCGATAGAGCTGAGCCCAGAATCCATTCATCTGCTCTCAGGCCAGCGGTGTTTCTGCTGTGCCGTGCGGCTCTGGCCAGTGGAGGTGCCATTGGTGATAGGCAGGAGGAGGAGGAAGCTAAGGCTGATACTGTCGCAGTGAGAACGGCCTCTTGGACTGTTTGTGGGCAGGTGGACGGAGAGACCTGGGCTGTCTCTGTCCAGCGGAGAACTGTGTGTCAGGCTTCTAGTCTTCAGAGCCTGGGGGGCTCTGGGGAACATCGCTAGTGTCTTGCCACAGTCTTGGCATTGCAGGTCCACCCCTGCCCCTGTGGCCATGGAGGAGGGAGGAGGTCTCAGAGAGGTGCCCCACCAGGCTTGGACTGGCTGCTGGTCCCTGGTTTGGGGGCTGCTCTTGAGGGTTCCATGAAATGGCACCGGTATGTGGATAGAGGGGCCAGGTTTGGAACGTTCAAGAAAGGGTAGTGTAGGAGTTTGCAGAGCTCTGTCCCCCCGCTTCTAGCAGTATCAGGGACCGAGAAGGAAGCAATGGAGACAAATCCCCCAGGCCTCCTCCTGGCTTGGGATGCACTGACCTTAGGTATTGGAATGATTTTAGCGCTAAGCTCTAAAATCCTGGGATGTCTATATCCCCATTTTCTGCACGAGGAAGTCGAGGGTCACAGTCTTAGTATCTCAGGCTGGACCCTGCAGTCAGTGGCGGTCCTGGAGCCGGAACCAGAGCACTAGGGTGAGGCAGCATGCTGCCAGGGTCCCTCAGACCAAGCTGTACGTCCCAGCACAATGTGGGAGTAATAACAGCCATGCCACGTCCCAGGCACTTTACATATAAGCTCATTTAATCCGCACAGCAGTCCAAAAGGCGAGGTATTTTATCAACGCTTTCGTTTTGTAGCTGGGCTTGGACCACTTGCAGGAGACTCATAGTCAGGAGTGGGCTGGATCCTGAAGCCAGGCAATGTGATCCTGGCTCCCACACATGCGCACTCTAGGCTCTTCCCCAGGCTCGGTTTTAGGACCTTCATCTGGCTGCGTTCTTGCTTGGGGTTCCAATTCTGTTTGGAAAGTGGGGGCTGCAGTGGGGCCACGTCATCTCTGCCCTCCTAGAGTTCAAGCTGAAGAAGATGTGGAAGAGTCCCAACGGAACCATCCGGAACATCCTCGGTGGGACCGTCTTCCGGGAGCCCATTATCTGCAAAAACATCCCCCGCCTCGTCCCTGGCTGGACCAAGCCCATCACCATTGGCAGGCACGCCCACGGCGACCAGGTGAGCTCCGGCGCAGGTTGGGCTCTGCTGGCCCGGGACCCCCATCTGGAGCCCCTGGCCTGAGCCACCCTCTTGTCTCTGCAGTACAAGGCCACAGACTTTGTGGCTGACCGGGCCGGCACCTTCAAGATGGTGTTCACCCCAAAAGATGGCAGCAGTCCCAAGGAGTGGGAGGTGTACAACTTCCCTGCCGGCGGCGTGGGCATGGGCATGTACAACACAGACGAGGTGAGCCCCTTAGGGGTGAGGCCCGCACGGAGCCTGAGCTCCTCTCCCCCAGTCTGGCCGCTGTGCTCCAGGCTTACCCCTGCCAGGCTGACTAGTTCCCGCCGAAGTCTAGCCAAATCACGTGACCACCTCTGAGCCAATCACGGAGGCCCCTAGAGAGAGGACGAGCTCTGATTGGATAAGCCAGACCCCGTCTCGAGACAGGTCCCATCCCAGCCTTATGGTCTAAGAATTGCAGAGAGGGCGGTAGCTTTTCCAGCAAAGCTGGCGGCTCTTTCCTCCCAGAAGTTGGGAAGCTGGGCCAGCAGAAACAGCAGATGTTTGCTTAGGGTTGCTGGATTAACCCAGATTGCCAGCAAAGGTAGTGTGGAGGGAAGGCGTGCATTCCTGGGCAAAGCCTGGCCCTGGGCGACCGTGCCAGGGACCCCTCTTTCTCCCCGCAGTCCATCTCGGGTTTTGCGCACAGCTGCTTCCAGTATGCCATCCAGAAGAAGTGGCCGCTGTACATGAGCACTAAGAACACCATTCTGAAAGCCTACGACGGGCGCTTCAAGGACATCTTCCAGGAGATCTTTGACAAGTAACAGCCTCTCCCCTTATAAGGATGCCACAGCCCTTCCTCCTTGTCCCCCCACCCCAGTCCTCATCCTACCCAGGAAGGTCACTGTCCCCATGCATTTGGCTCAGGGAGGGATCCCCAACCTGTCAGCCTCCCTCAACAGGCCCTTTTGCTTCCAGGCATTATAAGACCGACTTCGACAAGAATAAGATCTGGTATGAGCACCGGCTCATTGATGACATGGTGGCTCAGGTCCTCAAGTCTTCAGGTGGCTTTGTATGGGCCTGCAAGAACTATGATGGAGACGTGCAGTCAGACATCCTGGCCCAGGGTACGCTGGGAGCACCCTGCTCCCTGTGGGGTTGGGTTGTTCAGCTTCTCTGGCTGGGGTCATTTTCAGACCCTTTTGGTAGAAAATTTCTCTAGTGTAGCAGCAAGACTGGCTTGCCGGCTAGTTGCAAGGTCCTCTGTGGACAGCAGGGGGCAGGAGCTCCCTGGTAGCTGAGTGAGGAAGGACCCACCACATTTTAGGTTTGGACTGGTGTATCACTAAGGCTGCCATTGAAGGGAAAGCAGGACATAGGAATTCAAGGGGTCGGTGTGTTGGTCCTGAGATTCCTGTCCAGGAAGGGGCCAAGTCACTAGTTTTGGCTCCAGTGGAACCAAACATGGGATTGAGTACAACTAGGTGCTCTTTAAATTGCAGAGAATTTGTTTTGCACAGTAAACCTTTTGGATGTAGGAAATTATCAGAGAAGATGGAAAAACCCTGGGCCCTAGAGTGTCCTGGAAGGTAACTCAGATTCCAGCGGAAAGCCTGGGAGAGCCATTAGAAAGGAGCCGTAAGAAATAGCCCAACTATGTGGGGAACAGGAGCAGGAAAGACTACGGAGAAGGCAGCGTGTAGCACAGAGGGAAAGAGAAACAAGGTTGTGTAAGATGGGTGAGGTCTGGCTCCTGAGGAGGAGAGAAGCCCAGGTGAGGTTGGGATGAAAAGGCAGAGGGTCTCGAAGCATAAAGCTTTTATTAAAAAAAACAAAAATCTTTGGCTTTATTTTGAAAAGTTCGGTTGGTGATCCTCTCACTAGCACAACTCCCATCTAGGCTGGAAGGATGAAAAGCCATAGCAGACAAGAGAAAGGCATGACCACTACCCCTAAATATATAAGGAATTGGTGAGTGGGAAGGTCCAGGTAACAGTGGAGAAGGGACCCCCTTTCCCTGCCCTAACAGCAAAAATTCTTAAATCATGTTCCTATAGGAGTTGCCTACTTTTTCTTTCTTGGGACTTTACAATTCTTATTCCGGTGCCATGAGTGTTTTGGAAGCCCAGGAGACCTTGGCAACAGAAAAGGTTCCATATGGATTTGGGAGAAACTGGAAATCCATCACAAAGCTTCCAAGTAGCCGAAAAGAGCAGCAGATAAAGTGATTGCTGGGAAATGCTGGCAGCAGGCTTTATTCTTTCAGCTCCAATGTGCCTCCTGGCCACGAGCCAGGCTGGGCACGCAGAACTCTGCGGTGTCTTGGGCCCTGGGTGCCACGGGCTCCGGGACCCCTGGAGGTGGCGCCACAGATGTGCGCTAACAGTAATAGCCGCCTTCGAGTGCCCCCCTGCCCTGTGCTGGGCCCTGGAGACCACGGCCAGGGAGGATAAACCAGAAACATTTGGAGGTGGGTGGGATCATCAGTTGAGTGACGGCAGGAGAGCAGATGGGCTCAATCCAGGAGGTCTGAGGAGAGGTGCCAACACTTAGAGGAGGGTCTTCCCACTCTTCAGGCTTTGGCTCCCTTGGCCTGATGACATCCGTGCTGGTGTGCCCAGATGGAAAGACCATTGAGGCTGAAGCCGCTCATGGGACAGTCACCCGCCACTATCGGGAGCACCAGAAGGTAAGTGGGGGAGCATGCCTACATGATCTGCTGCGAGGGCCCGGAACCCCTGGCTGTGAGGGCTAGCAGGACGGGCCTGGCTCTGTCGGTCTAAGGGTGGGGAACTGCGTCCAGGTTGCCACGTTGTTGGCTTATTGGCTCTTAATTCCCCTGTGACCCCTGCCCCCAGGGCCGGCCTACCAGCACCAACCCCATCGCCAGCATCTTTGCCTGGACACGTGGCCTAGAGCACCGGGGAAAGCTGGACGGGAACCAGGACCTCATTAGGTGAGCTCAGAGGAAGGGCTGGGCTGGCCCAGGGCGGGTTCTGGGCCTGGACGCCACACAGCTGCGGCCTCACTCTGCCCCCCCCCTGCAGGTTCTCCCAGACCCTGGAGAAGGTGTGCGTTCAGACGGTGGAAAGCGGAGCCATGACCAAGGACCTGGCGGGCTGCATCCATGGTCTCAGCAAGTGCGTGGCCTGGGTGAAGGGCAGGGCTGGCCTCTCGGGACCTCAGGGGCAGGTGGGAAGAAGCCGAGGACTATTCTTAGAGGCCCCTCCTGAGTCAGGGCAGCTTCACAGCCCTGAGGCTACTGCTCAGAGCCTTTCCCACCCTTCCTGTACCCATCTCCCTGCTGCTCCTAGGAGAGCTTGTACCCAGCTGCCCATTCACCTGCAAAAGAACAGGCAGACCTTCCCAGGTTCCTGCTGAATGGGCTGTGGCCCTTGGCAGTGGGCTGCAGGTAACCTTTGACTTGCAGATAGCCTGGCGTGCCCCTCCTCACGGGGCTGCCACGAAGATGCCCACGCCCAGGCGCTGCCCCTCATTCATATGTGTTCTCCCGCAGCGTGAAGCTGAATGAACACTTCCTGAACACCTCGGACTTCCTGGACACCATCAAGAGCAACCTGGACAAAGCCCTGGGGCAGAAATAGCAGGTGGCAAGCGCTGCCCGGCTGCTGCGGTGGACACGGGTCCTGGGACCGTGGTGGAGGGTGAGCCTCAGCCCTCTCAGGAGGCCTTTCTAGGGGACATTTTTTATAAGCAAATGTTTTTAAAAGTATCCGCGTTTCCCCTCACGGTGACGTGAGGCAGGAACAGTGTGTTTTACCTCAGCCCGTCAGTATGTTTTGCATACTGTAATTTATATCGCCCTTGGAACACATGGCGCCGTATTCAGCTACTAAAACCTCTTCACAAAACTGTCTGCTGTGTTTGTCCCTTGGGAGGAGGCGGCTGGGGCCTGGAGGCAGAGGCCACCGAAGGGCTGGGGCTCCACCAGGGAGTACCAGGGACAGACTGAGCACCTCGGGCCACGCTAGGTCTCTGTCCCAGGCTCCATCCAGTCAGGAGTCCACCACGGGGGAGGGACTGGGTAGCACTGTATAGGAGCCACGTGAGCAGCTGCTGTGACTGGGGTCGCAGGCCTGTGGGTTCCCTGGCATTTCCTAGCACGGTTCCTTTATCCTTTTGGGGTTGTCACTTCTTGACAGATTCAAGTGATATTTTTCTTTCTTTCTTTCTGTGTTGGTTTTCACCTTCTAAACATCTCCAGCCCTCTGCACTTTTTCTCGGTACTAAAAACAGGCCCCGCCCAGCAGCTGCCTCTGGTTCTCCACTGACCGCTGCTGGGGGCTCGGCCGGGAGTGTGAACAGGGCCCCCATGGAGTCTAGAACTGTGGGTGCCAGACTTGGGTTCATCTTCTTCACTTTTTTTTTTATCCTCACCTAAAGACATTTTTCCATATTTTGTTCAGATAGAGTGGGAGGGAGAGAGAGAGAGAGACATCAACGTGAAAGGGACACATCGAGTGGCTGCCACCCGCACGACCAACCAGGGCCGGGGACAAACTGCAACCAAGGTACATGCCCTTAGCGGGAACCGAACCTGGGTCTCTGTGGACCGCAGGCCGACGCTCTAACCGCTGAGCCAAACTGGCCAGGGCATCTTCTTCACTCTTTAGCAAAACTAGAAGAGTAAGGTAATAACGCTGCTATCAAGTTAAATAGATCCAATTTACAGGGCTATTATATATTGCACTTCTGGTGTTAAAATGTCCTTGGGGAAGAGCTGTATCATACTCACTCGATAAAGTAAATAATTGGCCATCCTAAATCCATTTCCCAAATTTGGGGGGTCATCTCACAGCTCCTGAAACTCAACAGTTGGAAACCTTGATGGCTTTGAGATGGGCCCCGGCTGCCCACGCACGCTGGTGCCTCCTGTTCAAAAGACCACTCTTGCTGGGTGACCGCCCCGAGCCCCAGGGCCGTGGGAAGAAAGCTGGCGCGCTCACTGGCGAGGCGCAGCTCCTGGGGCAAGTAAAAGGTTTCCGCCCCTTCTTGCCCACCAGTAGCAAAGGACTGGCAGCTCCCCAGGACCCGGCCTCGGAAGCCCAGTCTGGCATGGTGCGCTGGCTTCTGTCCTGGTGCCCTGTTGGTGGGTAAGGAGGGGAAAAGGCTTTTCTCTGCAAGTGGTGGGAATTCTGGGGCCTTGGCCAGTCCCCCTCTTGGGCTTGGAGCAGCTCCCCGTAGGCGCCTGGCCCTGCAGGGGGCCCCGCTCCAGTGCAAAAGAAGGTCTGTGCTGCCTCTGGGCCCCTGGAGAGTGAGGCCCTGCTGGTAGGGCTGCAAAGCTTTGTTGGGAGTTCCGGGGGAGGGGGAGGACCAGGCCCCCAAGAAGCGTGGAAAGAAGCACTTGCAGTCGCCTCACTAAAGAATATTCATTTATTTATAGTTATTGCTAAGTAAACTTCTCTTTTAAACAGGAACATAAAAACACAGTAGGGTTTTGCACAAGTGGAATTTCTCAACAGTTGGTTTGTATACACGTCAAAATAAGTTAGAATGGAATTCATCCAGAAGTTTCCAAGTCACCCGAGAGGCCACATACCTCTTTTGCAAAGGGTGGTGGCAAGGGGTGAGGATGGGAGCCTTGCCAAGACCACCCCCCACCCCAGCGCAAGTTGTGAGCCGTGCTGTCCCCTTCTCTCAGCTTCGCCCGGGTCCAAGGCACAGGGCAGGGGCGTTCAAGTATCGAACCTCGCAGAGGGCCGGTGTGACGGTGGGGCTGGGGGAGAAAGGAGAGCCCACCCTGGGGCCCAGGCTTCTCCTGGGGGTTTCCAAGACCAAGGCCACTGCGCCGGCGGGAGAGAGGAGGAGGAGGAGGTACAGGATTCTTTTTGGTACCAGGGGAGAAAGACGTTGTGGGAAGAGGTAGTTTGCAGGGGATGATGCATCTGCTCAGCAGGAGAAAAATGTCTTCCACAGTGACGGGGTCACTGCCACCTGAGGGTCACAGGGCGGGCACCGGGGAGGCTAGGCGGGCCTCGTGGTCTGGAGAGCCGCACTCGGGAGAGGCTCCGGTGGGCCCCAGCCCTCTCATTTGTTGCTTAGTATGAGCTCTAGCCGAGAAGGAAGGAGCACCCGGCTGCCTGGTCCCGAGGCCACCTTGTCCTCCCCTCAGTCCCGATCACAGCCGCCCTGAGGCCTGGACTGGTCCTTCACTAAGGATACAGCCTTGGGGGAGCTGCATTTCAAAGTGATCCCCCACCCCCGGCTGCTCCCCCCCCCACGCGGTTTCTGGGCCGAAGTTGGTGGCTTCACCTCCTTCCGTGCCTTTGGGGACAGCCCTGCCTGCCCCTCCCCACTGAGGCCTCCGAGGCCAGGAAGCAGGAGTCGGGGTGCCCTAGCGTTCCTGAACCCGCTGTTTCCTTGCCCTGGGCATGAAGCCTTCGGTGCCAGGGGCAGGAGCCGGGAGGGGACAGAGGTGGTGAGCGGCTGCTGAGCGAGGGAGCTGCTGGCCGGCCTCTGGTGGGTGGTGCAGAGAGCGCGAGTCACTGGCCAGGGGCTGGCCGGGGTGGAGGGCCTGCCACACCGCGCCTCTCCGGCCTCGCCCGCCTCGAGGCTTCTTGCCTGCAGCTGGGCTTCCATGGCCAGAGCCACGGCTCCGAGCCCGCGTCCCGGGGGCCAGGCTGCTCTAGCTTGGGGGGCACACAGCGCACAGCAAGCTTCCGTTGGGAAAAAAAAATGATCTCCATCAGAAAACGTAATAGGTGACACAGTTGGAAAGGAAAAAATAAGAATAAATTATCTTCCAAATACCCCCATTTGCTTTAAAAAAAAAACCAACTTTTTTTTTCTCTCTATGGTCTTCATTTTCCTTTTTAAATGCTGCTCTTCCTGGGCGCCTGCTGACTCGACTGTCCCCGTCCTCAGAATGGATACTTGTTATTCCTTAAATAAGAAACATGTCCCAGCCCCTCCCCCCACAGGACAGTTCCCTTGGGTCCCCAGTGATCTGTCTCACTGTGCCCTGACCCCTCGCTCGAGGGGCCTCCATCTGTCTTTGTTAGTGTGTGTCCTGGCTTTCTTCACACTGGGGACCCTGGTGTGGTGCCCCAGCTCAACAGAGAATTGGATGACAGTTGCTGAAATCCACCTTAGGGGCTGTAAGATGGGGGCCTTCTGGGGGGTGGCTAGAGAAGGCGTTAGCTGGGGGCCGGGCTGCACCCTGCTGTCCAGCCGGCCAGGTTGGGGGCCACCTGCACACCTGGCTCCAGGAGAGCTCGGGAGGCACCAGGAGGTAGAGGGCAGAGGCCCTGCCTGGCTGTCCACAGACAGGGTGGGGAAGACGGCCCAGGGGCTGGTGGGGGTGGGGGTGGGCAGTGCCGACCAGTGTGGGAGCTCCGACATCCCTCAAGCAGGCAAAGGAGAAACAATGCCTGGCTCAGGAGATCTCTTCCTCCAGTGTCAGGACCCCTGAGGGCCATCGGCGTGGCCCTGCCCACACTGGCTGCCCCAGCTCTGCTGGGCCTGGAGACACCTGAGAACCTGTGCCCTTGTGACCTGTCCCTAAACGGCCCCCATCAGCATTGCCCCCACCCTCCCACAGCAGCAGGCAGAGGAGATGCAGACCTGGCCTGTGTGTCACCCTTCCTCCCCCGATGCCTGGGGCCTGGGCCCGGTTCACAGCTGAGGCCAGTGGTACAGTCCATTTGGTCTAAAAGTCCCTAGTGGTGCAAACGATTTGGGGGGAGGGGAGGGCTCAGGACAGTGGGGCAGTAGCTTGTTCCTCGGCTGCAGGAGCGCAGCCCGCAGCCCGCGGGTCTCACCCCCACGCCCAGGCCCTCCTCACCCGGTCTGGGCGGCCCGGCGTTGCTATAGCACATTGTAGTAGGCCATCTCCTTCATGGCCTGTTCGGTGAGGACACTGGCCTCGGCGCTGCCGTCCACGCCTGCGTAGGTGTAGGCATTCTCCTCGAAGTCCTCCATCTCCTGCTGGCCGTCAAGCTCGGAGGGGTCGGTGCCCGTCAGCTCCATCATGGGGTCTGCAAGAGAGGGGCAGAGTTAGCCCCAGATGCCAACCCCACATAGAAAGCGGATTCTCAGCTGCCTCTCAGCACCCCCCCCCCAGGAGGCCTCAGGTTCTTGTGGCTCTAATGGGTCACTAGACCTGAGCCCTAAAGCTGTGGAGGGGCGGGGGAGGCCTGGCCTTGGCCTCTTGTAAGTCACTAAACTTATTTCTCCTCTGCAGTGTCTCTCATTGGTCCCCTTTGCCACAGGAAGCCTGCTGCATCACCACTCATTTAGTACCCACTACACTGCACATTCACCGGCGCAGGAACGCTCACAGCAACCCCAGCCAGGAGTAAAGGGAAGTCCAGAGAGGTTCGCTGGCTTGCCAAGGGGCACCCAGCAAATGCTTCCAGTTTCGTCCACTGTGCTGCTCTGCCTCCCCTGGTGGTGGTGGTGGTGGTGGGCTGATCTCTGACCTCCTGCAGTATCTGTGCTTTTTATTTATTTTATCTTTTTTTACTGACTCGAGAGTGAGAGGAAGGGGGAGACAGAGAGAGAGAGAGAGACATCGACTTGCCATTCCATTTATTTATATAGTCCTTAGTTAATTCTTGTATGTGCCCTGACCAGGGATCAAACCCGCAACCTTGGCATATGGGGATGACTGACTAAATGAGCTACGTGGACAGGGCTAGTCCTTGTGCCTGAAGCCAGTTCTATCCAGTGCTCTCCTGGGCCTTGCTCTAAAGGACAAACACCCAAGAGCGCTTAACACAGAGGATGAGGCAAACACTCTAAGAGGCCCCCTGTACTTTTATCAAATTGAAATCTTCTAAAGCCCTTACTGTTGGAACAATAGCCAGATAGAAAATGTGCAGGAGGCCTGGGCTGCCTTCCAGATGAGTCACTGGGCAAGGAGCCTGGGGGATGATCTGGGGACCCTGGGAGGATGGACACTAGGCGCTGGGGCTAAGCCTCAGTGTGCATTCTGCCCCTGTCCACCTAGGGCATGTAATGTGTTTTGGGGACAAATGGATCCCAGACCAGGGGTAGCCCTGATAAGCCTAAGGGCTTTCAACCCTGGCCCTATTAACATTCGGGGCCAGGGTTATTTGTTGTGGGGACTGTCCTGTGCACATCGGAGGATGTTTAGCAGCATCCCTCTATCAGCGAGATGCGAACAAGGAAGCACACTGCCCTTAAGACCACTGGTAGCCATCTTTGACCATGAGGACAACACACTCTTTGCCTTGGCCACTGGGAAGCTCAGAGCTCCCTTCTGCATGCCTCTCTGACCTCCCATGGTACACGTGGACTTGGCTCTCCCTTATCTTTCCACTCGCCATTTTCCCATTTGATACTTTCTTTCCCATGCATTTATTTTACATCATCTCTCAGTAATGAGGTAAAGTGTCTTTCGCCTCCTGTGTGCTGTGATTCGGCACGAGTTACCTAACTTCTCTGTCCTTGTGTTTCTGCATCTGTAAAACGGCGGTAACAACAGAGCCAACCTCACCGTGAGGATCACATGAGTTAATAAAAGCCTGGCACACAATTAGCACTCGATGAAGGTTGTTTTTTTTATTATATTGTTTACGTGAGCCCACTTAAATCCTTTGAAGAATACATCAACATCCCCTCATCTCCATGATGGCCCTCCAGGGTGCCCCCTCTCCAGACCTGAGCCCATCCCGATGAGGTCTCAGGCCTGGCCAGCCTCCTGCCTCCTCTAACTGGACAGGAGGCTCCTGCGTGTGCCATGAGAGTACTGCTCCTGCTCCTTCCACCGCACGTGGCCCACCCACCTTGGCTGTCCAGGCCAATGTCCATGACGCCGTGCTTGACCTTCATGTGCCGGCTCAGGTTGCCCTTGAGGTTAAACTTGCTGGAGCAGTAGGGGCACTTGAAGGGCTTGCTGCCCGCGTGCAGGTGCATGTGGCCCAGCAGGTTGTACATGCGGTTGAAGGACTTCCCACACACCTGGAACACAGCACCGGCACCATCAGTCCACAGGGAGCCTGCCCTCCAGAACCCCGGCCCCCTCCCACCTCTGTGGCTGGGCCGCAGTCTGCTCGCTCTGGACAGCACTCATTTTGTTCTTTCCTGAAAGACAGAGAACTAAGCCTCCTCGCCACTCACTGTTCCTGTGGGTATGCACCACACTAAGCTGGAGTGGTCAGAAACCCAGGGCTCGGATCTCAACTGCATCGAGTCTCCGGCCTGGGCTCTTTCCCTGTGACTGCACTATGACCTTCCTCCGCTTCCCCAACTCAGCAGCTTGTAGGATCCGAACCCCCACCGCCCACTCCAACTCCCCAGAGCCCGGGCAGTTTCACAGACTTGCCCACACTGGCCAGGCCACCTCTTGGCGGGTTTTCACCACCCACTGCAGTCATGCTGACTCCAGGCCACCCGGGGGACAGTCCCGCCTTGGGGCCCTGTGGCCTGGTACCTTGCATTTGAATGGCTTCACCGGTGAGTGTACAATCATGTGGGTCTTGAGAGTCTGCTTCTGCACGAAGGTCTTGAAGCAGATGTGGCACTGGTAGGGCCGGACACTGGTGTGGATCAGCATGTGCCGCTTCATGTTGGCCTGCAGCGTGAACTCCCGGCCACACACCTCGCACTTGAACTCCTTCACGCCCTGTGGGGGTGGGGGCAATGATCAGGGCCACACCATGGGCACAGCCTCTGTGTGGACCAGAGGGTCAGAGTGACTGTACAGCTTCTGGGAAATGACTTTCTGGGGGTGTTCCAAACAGGTACCCCTTATTTAAAACCACTGATAGAATGCCGGGGCAGGGCTACTACTCCAGGAAGCCTTCCGGTATTAGGCAGAGATTGACTGGGCCTTACTGTTCCTACCTACACTCCTGCTGTCTCCTGCCACCAGGCAGATGTTTTAGTTCACTGAGTCATTGATTCGTTCAGCAGCCACTTACCAGGCACCTGCTACACACCAGCAAGACACCAGGCACCTGGGGCTTGTGGCCAAGAAGACACAGCCTTAGCCCGGTGGCCGTGGATTATTTTCCTCAGCCACGATGTGCATGTGTGTCTTTCTCCTCAGTGCATCTCAGTGGCCTTTGCATTCATGAGAATATGAGCAAAGGTATGCTCACCGAGGAAAAATGACACTTGGGTCTGTGTTGAATTTAGATCCCTCAAACTCTCGGAGCCCATCACTGACCCCCGAGAGTTTTCCAAGCATCCCTGGTGACAAGGGCCACATGTAATTCTTGTTGAACAAACAGCTTCTCAGGCTGCTCCCTGGAGAATCCCATTTAGTGGGATTTTTGGTCTCCACAGGTTCCCAAAGGTGATTCTTATCATTGATGGAGTTTGGGAACAATCAGCCCTAGGAGACAAAGACTCCAGGGAAAACCCTCTGTTTGGGGCTGTCAACATGCTTTGCCATATGGTCTGGAGGTGGCCTCAGAGCAGGACATGGTGCTGTGGGTACAGGGGGTCCACCTCATTGTCTGGAGAAAAATGTTAGGACAAAACCTGGGAGCTGATCTCTTTGCTAGAACCCCCAGTTATTTAGTAGAATCCCAGCTGGCCAGACACATTTCTGTGGTCACAGCTGCTACTCCAACTGCTGCTTGGTGCAAAGTTTGATATCATAGCTTAATGGTTCCTGGATCTATTTCTCTTAGCAGGCAGGGGTGTGTCTCGCATCTCACGCTCGCCGGAGATGCGGGAGATGCGTATGACCAGCAGGGGGCCCTGCCCTTTGGCAGCTTCCACCACGAGTGCTGTGCACAGCGCACACATTCAGGCTGCTGAGAGGAATGTTTCCAATTGGATTAGCCTTTGATTTTTGCTTTCAGCTTTTCTTCACTGTATTATTTATCTTTTAACACTTTGCAGACAGGTAGGGACTTTCAGTGGAGGAGAAAGATGACAAATATATAGCCCATGACCTTATCACTCTTCACTCCCACGCCCTGCAGACGCTAATAATCAGTCATCTGGTTTTTACTCTGGCCACATTCCAGGTTTATGGCCGAGCCCAGAATCGGCTTCAGAATCCTTCTTAACGTGATGTTCTCGGCAGCTACACCAACCGACTGCAGGAGGGCCTGCAGGGAAACCCACAGACCATTTCTGCTCTAGCGAAAACACTTCCCAGGGCTGGGAGGGGATGGGTTCTGGGCCCGGCAGGCTGTTGCTTCCCCTCCACTGTCACGTCCACTGTGAGAGATCTGGACACGAGTTCAGCCGGGAGAACTCTAAGGCCACCATTACGAGGAGAGGAAGCTCTATGTACACCAGCTTCAAAGTGTGCAGTTGGATTTGGGGTGGAAACCATGGGGCCGGCCAGTGTCAGAGGGGGACCACAGGACCTGAGAGGCCTCATCCCATCTGCCTGGACATGAGGGCCTCTGGGAGAAGGTGATGCTGGCTAAAAGGCAGGGCGGCCACTGGCCTGAAGGAAGGGAGAGGAAGGTAGGAGAACACAGGTCAAGGTTATGTCTAAAGACTTTGTGAGTGAGAACAGTATCGCTCTATCCTTCCTCTCCACAAACCAATCTGCCGGTGTAGCCGTATTCCAGAACCAACTATACTTTTCCATAACAAATATTCTTCCTAAATCTAGTCCCTTTTCACTGAAATCGATTAAGCTGTTTCCTAAAGGGAAGTCATAGGTTTTGATATACTTTTGTTACGGGGAGCAAAGGACCCCATCTGTACTTCTCTGACTGTCTGGTCCATCTGCCCACAGCATCCTGGCCTCTCCCCTCCCATCTATAAAGCAGGGACAGTAGGCGGCTTCTGTGATCTTCCAGCCGTGGTCCTTGGGTCCTGCCCAGGGCTCCTCAAACATTTCATTCAAAAAAGTTAAAGAAAAAAAGTCCAGGTTTACTATTAAACAGACAACTAAATTTCCCCCGGCTGTCCTGGCTCCATGGGTAGAGCATCATCCCGTGTACCAAAAAGTCACAGGTTCAATTCCCAGTCAGGTCGCATACCCAGGTTGCGGGTTCGATACCCATGCGGGAGGCAACCGATCAATGTTTCTCTCTCCTTCCCTCTCTCTCTCTTTCTCAAATCAATGAAAAAACAAACAAACGTATCCTCAGGTGAGGATTAAAAACAAAAAGGCAATATTTAATGATACATTTTTCTAAATACGTAACCATGAAAATAAGGACCGTTCATCTGTGAACCATCTATAGCACAACCTCAGCAGAGCAGTGGGTGAAGAACAGGGGAGGGCGGAGCCCCGGGCCCGGGCAGAGCCTGGGGAGGCAGAGGGAGGCCCAGGGCAGCAGCCCACGTACCTTGTGGGTGAGTGAGTGTTGCTTGAGGTGGTGGACCTGGCTGAACTCCATGCCACACTCGGTGCACACGAAGGGCCGCACATTCTGGTGCTTGAGCATGTGGTTCTGCAGCTGGCTGCGGTAGTGGAAGGACTTGTCGCACTCGAGGCACTGGTAGAGGGTGGGGCCCTGGTGGGAGGCCAGGTGTCGCTTGAGCTGGGTCAGGGTGGAGAAGTCCAGGCCGCACTCGACGCAGACATGGCAGCGGCCGCTCTCGTGCTTCACCTCGTGGGCCTTGAGCTCGCTGGGGTAGGCGAAGCCGCGGCCGCAGAAGTGGCAGCTGTAGGGCTTGACCTCCGAGTGCAGCAGCATGTGACGCTTGAGGTGGCTGGTCTGCGTGAAGGCCTTGTGGCACACCTGGCACTTGTGGGGCCGGGTGCCCTGGTGCGTCAGCAGGTGCGTCTGCAGGTGGCTGGGCTGCTTGAAGAGCTTGCTGCAGTGCGGGCAGGAGTGCGGCTTGATGCCGTTGTGGCCCAGGATGTGCGTCACCAGGTTGTACTTGGACGTGTAGGACTTCTCGCACATGCGGCACTGCCAGCGTTTCTGGCGGTCGCCCGCCTCCACCAGGTAGGAGTCGTCGATCTGCACGTTGATGTCCAGCCGGTCCAGCTGGGCCTTCTTGTGGCGCTCCACCGTGGAGCCCGCCGCGTCCGCCTCGAACTCGCCCGCCTCCTGCCACACGAAGCCCTGCTCCGGCTTCACGGGCTCCGGGGACTCTAAGGCGGGGGGCTCCGGGTCGCTCAGGGGGGCCAGGTGGGGCGGCTCGAAACCGCACTCTGCGGGCAAGGCTTCAGGCCCGGGCAGTGCCATGCTGGGCTCTGGGAAGCCATCCTGGGCTGGGTCGTGGAAGTGGGGGTCGTAGGGGGCCACGTCCAGCTCTGGCCGAGGGGCTCGGGGAAGGGGCCGCAGCGTCCGGGGCTTGCGGCTGAAGGCGCTGAGGTCGATCATCTTGACCGCGCTGCTCTGCACCAGGGACTCGCAGCCACCGCCACCCACCTCAGCGGGGGCCTCCGCTGGGCCTGCATCCTTGTCGCCGCCAGGCACCGACACCTCGTAGACCTCCTGCTCCTCCTCCTCCACCTTCTCAAACTTGACCTTGGGCACCAGCCGCACAGGGGGCCGTGTCTTCCGCCGGGTGTGCTTCTCGAAGGCCGCCTCCACCTCCAGCACCTCCTCCTCGGCCGGCTCCTCCAGGGCCCGTCCATTGCAGGCCAGCTGGTAGACGTCAGGGCCCGGGGGACCAGGCTCCCCCATGGAAGCCCCGGACAGCTCGGGGCCTAGGTCTGGGTAGAAGGCTTCAGCGCTTATGGTGGCTCCAAAGAGCTCATTTTCCGAGACCAGGCCCAGCACGGCAGCCTGAGCCAAGGACAGCACCACCACGGCATCTGTCTGTGTCCCTGAGTCCATGAAGCCCTCCATCCCTGGGTGGCTGGCTAGGAGGTCATCGCTGCGGGGGAGGGGGAGAAGGGAACATTAGTACTGCGGGCTCACTGTAGCACAGACGGACACACGGTCAGCAAGGGATCAGCTAACTTGGGGTGCGTCGGTCCCTGACGTCTTTCTACTCCCACCTCGGGAACAGGACACACATAATCACAGGGAGCGGCGACACCCATGTCCTCCTTCTCCCTGTGAGATCCCGGGTAAGCCCTGCCCCCTCGCTGACCTCAGCCTTCCCATCTGTAAAACGGGAAGGCTGGATTCCCTCAGCAGTTCTCAAACTGTATTCCGCAGTTCCTTCAGGAGCTCCTCAGAAACCTCATCCAAAAAGCACAAAAATTAAAAGATTCTTCTATTTTTGAACGCCGCTTTAGAAAACCCATCTACTCAAATGTATACACAGTACACCTCGTCCCAACACATTCCGGGGGCCCACCAGCTTTGTTGCCAAGGTGATTAATTTTGCACAGACCTTGAAACTACAGTGAGGTGTTAAACAACTGTCACCATTTGTAACGGCTTGTCCATATGAATGAGGTGTTTGGGTTTTGCAAAGAATATATATTGGGCAAAAACAAGGCAGCACACAAAAATAAATGAGGTGCCAAGGCCGACCTCAGACAGCGGCTCCCACCGATCACCTCTGATGCTCAATGACGTGTCCATCACAGGTCCTGGTTCTTGATTAGCTAAATGTTACACATTTAAATAGCTAACTGTATACCAATAAAAATACAGCTTTTTCCTCCTGATTTGTGCACTGGAAATTCCACGTAAGAGCTGCACTAAAAGAAGGCTGCAAAGGCTGATGTGCTTGAGACAACCGTCTGAAATGAAGGCACCGGCCATGCTCTGATCTAACGGGTTCTTTAAAAAGCCAATGTGCCCACCAAACCCCGAGCGTGTGGGCGTCCTTCCCCGGGGCACCAGCCCCAGCGGTGCTCTGTGTAGCCCTGCCTTGCATGGGGGGGGGGGGGGTCTCCCACCCTTGGCACCCTTTTCCCAAACCTGCTGAGCTCCTGGCTCCTCCCACCAGCATCCCAGCTTCTCTCAAATTCCACCTGTTCCGGGGGTTTCCCCGCCCTCCTTGCCAGCCCAGTGTCCTCTCCCACCCTCTTCAGGCCTCGGGGGGCACGCAGTGCCCAGATGTGGGAGGGTCTCCTCTGTGGCCTGAGCTGGACACTCATGAATTAACCCCCCACTCCCAGCTCAGAGCCTGGCACATGGGAGGCCTCCATTGGAAGGCGAAGGACATGACTGGGGTGGCTCCCGCTCCCCTCCCAGGGCCACAGGTGGCGCGTGGCCCATCAGGAAACAGGCCTGGCCTGGTGGCCCCCTCCCCCCACAGGCCACCGGAGCCTCCCCCTTCCCGAAGCTGGCTAAAAATAAAATACCCCAGACAGGAATTCAGCCTCCTTGAAAGGGACACTAGGACTAAACGATTAAGCTTAAAGTGGGGCTCTGGTGGAAGGGCTGACGGCGGTTCAGAGCCCACCCCAACGCCCTGCTGAGAAGCCAGGCAGCTCAGCTTCAAGCCCCAGCCGTCGCTCACAAGTCACTGAACAATGTCATTTCAAAGTCACTTCTGCTCCTCAGCCTCCCCATCTAAACAAAAGGGGGATGAAAACCCTACCCATGGAAGGGCAGAGATAGCCCAGGTTGGGACTCAGGACCACAGGCCGACGCTCTAACCGCTGAGCCAAACCGGCCAGGGCGCCCAGGTTGGGACTCAGGTGAAGGGGCTCAGTTCCTTGTAAAGCCGGCAGCAGATACAGGGAACCACTCTTCCCGTCTGCCAGATCTCTGCAAGGAGCCTTTGCGGATGAAAGCCTCAGAGCTGGGGGTTTCTCCATTCTGGGGCCCCGAGTTCAGCAGAGGTCTGGGTGACTGCGGACACCTGTAGACGCGAGCGACTCACACGTTCATCCGTGCAACAGATACTGTTCGCCAAGTCCCTGCTCTGGGTCAGGCCCTGTGCCTGGAGGTGCAGGTGGGGAGGCAGGGGCCCCATCCTCACAGGTGAGACCTCTGTGCTACCACAGTCCCTCTGTGGGGGCATGTCACTGCCTCTGGTCACAGCAACCTGTCTGACACAGCACCCAGGGCGGCCCGCGTGTCTGCTGTGGGTTTGAGCACCCAGAGAGCTCAGCATTTTTTCCAGACTTCCCCAGCGGCCAGGCCAGCAGGAGGGGGGAGGGAGGAACTGACCCTCAACACGGGTCCTGTGCGGGAAAGTGGGGACTAGGCTCTAAGTTCACATCCGGACTTTGCCCTTTTGTAGCCCGGGGAACCTCCCGTCGTATTTCAAGTCTCAGTTTCCTCATCTCTGTGGATCAAGGTCTCCGTTCTGTCTCCAGGGATGGAGGTCTGCATTTCGCCTCTGTGGGCCCAGGTCCCGATCACATCTCTATGAAGCGCCTGACTCACGGGGGAGTGAGGGGATGAGGTGAGGAGACCAGTGTAAATGTTAGTCTCCTTCCCTGTTCTTTTTTTTTTTATTATTATTTATCCTCACCCGAGGACATTTTTCCATTTTTTGTTCAGATAGAGCGGGAGGGAGAGAGAGGGAGAGAGAGAGAGAGAGAAACATCGACGTGAAGGGACACATCGAGTGGCTGCCACCCGCACGACCAACCAGGGCCAGGGACAGACTGCAACCGAGGTACGTGCCCTTAGCGGGAACCGAACCCGGGTCTCTCTGGACCGCAGGCCGACGCTCCAACCGCTGAGCCAAACCGACCAGGGCTCCTTCCCTGTTCTTTTCTCCCAGGCCCCAGTACCTGGCACCAACCCTTTCCCTGCAACCACTTCAAGACAGCGGAAGCAAAGAAACAGTTAACATCGCTCTATGGGCAGCCGAGCTGGTGAAAAAGTCGGCCAGCGCCTGCCCGCCTGCCCGCCTGCCCGTGGGGGCCAGAGCCCATGTCTGCGGCGGGTCCCTCCAGGAAGGTAATCATGTAATTTACTGTCCCTATTAGGAGGGACCTTCTAAGAGTGAAAAGGGCCACTCCTAACGATGACCCCAGGACCCCAGGCACAAGCTAAGCCTGCCCCACCCCCACCAACCAGGTATGGTCTTTCTAGGGTAACAGGCCGGCGGTGGTGACTTTGGGGCTATGAATGAGAAGTGTGTCTGTGTTAGGAGCCTATACCTGGGTGTAACAGGGGACATGTCTGCCCAAGGCCTTGCTTTTTAGGGATTCGTGTCCAAGTGTGTGGGGGGCACAGAGGTGCCAACAACCAACCACAAACATGGACAGAAGAGTTAGCTTTCCCTTCGTTAGTGCTCACACTAGCCATTTAATCATACAACCCCCATGAGGGGGAGGGGGGAGGGGTGTGTACCCCACTTCACAACTCAGGGACCAGGGGTCAGTAATGTGCTTCACAGGGGCCTGTCAGTGCAAGTGGAGTCCAGGTGGTGAGAAGCCAGTGGGCACGCCCTGCGCCCACTGCCCTGCTCACTGGTGCAGCCAGGCTGGCTGTGTGCGTGTGTGCGTGAGTGCGTGTGTGTGTGCACGGCTCTGTTTGTTGAGGCAGAGACCAGGAGAAAGAAGGCAGAGGGAATCTAATTTGCCTGCGTTTCGCATGTGTGTTCTGTCTGTCACTCATGGGAATGACTCGCGGGAGGCTGGGGGCTCTGCAGCCCTGATGTCTCTCTTCGTCCTCCTCCCAACTCCCCTCTCATCTGGCTCCTTCTCACAGGCCACAACCCTCCTGTTTGAGGCCCTGGCACAGGGCTGCCCAGGGCAGGAGGAGAGCCCGCCAGGTCCTCACCACCTTCGGGCGGGCGGCCCCATTTGTCCTGGGCCTGGGGCCCCCTTGGCACCTCCCTCCTCAGGGCACAGCCTCTCCCCACCACGGGTGCAGTGGGCTCAGAACAAAAGCTCTTAGTCCAAGGGGGAGAGGAGCTCAGACTGCCCCCTGGGCTGGGAGCTGAGGGGTGTCCATCGGATGCAGCTCGGCCTCCTACCAGGGCACCTATGGTCCCCGGGGCTCAGGGGAAGGAAACGGCAAAGCAGGGAACCAGAGGAGCCAGACTAGGTCCCGATTGTCGGCTAAAGACTTGTGCTGGGAGTGGGGGAAGGGAGGCCACAGCAGAGGGAGAGGGAAGGGGGAGGAAGATAGGGGGAGGGGGGAGGGGGAGAGAATGAAGAGACAGGGAAAGGGGAGGGGGAATCTGAGTAATAGGGGAGGAGGCAGGAGAGAAAAAGAAAGAAAGAAAGATGCTATGGAGGCCAAGAAACAAAAGCAGAGGGGGAGGGGAAGGAGAGCAGAGAGAGGAAGAAATGGGGTGTGGTGGTGACACCAGAGGCCCAGGGCTGCCCTATTTCTCAGGGCTCAGCATCACCCCCTTCCTGGGCCTGAGGGCCAGGCCAGCCCCGGGGGAGGGGCCAGTCTGGGGCTGAGGACCTGCAGAAAGCCTCCCCCTCCCCAGGCAGGGACCCAGAACTCACTGCTGCTTCATCTGTTGCTGTAAACACAACACAAACGTGTTCAGTGAATCAATGACTGACCTGCTGGGTGACCCTGGTTAAGGCCATCAGGGTCTCGGTTTCCTCATCTATAAATTGGGCACAAGAGGCTTCTTGGACCCTTGAGGGCAGGTAACTCCCCGGCCTTCCTGCATGTCATGGGGTCTCCTCTGCAGGATGTGACAGCACCTCCTCTCACCCCATGCTCATTTAAAAGCCTCTGGTCTCTTCACTGAAACCCCCCAGGCGCCCCCGCTCTGACAGCAGGGGAGGGCCGAGGGGCAAGGGTGGCCAGTCTCTACGGAACGCAGACGGCGGGGCAGAGCTAAGTGGATGGCGCTTGGGGGCCTGGTCTGGCTTGGGGCTGACGGGACTGGAACCATTTTGAAGAACCAACAGGACCTGCCTGATCTTTGACTAACTCCCACCACCAACTGAAGACACGGGAAGTCTTGGAGGATTGTGCCAACCCAGCCTTGAGATGTCACCAAGCACTACGTGGAGGGCCTAGCAGGTGCCGGCTGCTGCCGGG